TGCCCTGCCTGCACACCTTCTGCGAGAGGTGAGCCCACCCCGACCCCGACTACCCCCATAACCCCAATGCTGCCTTGCCTGCACACCTTTTGAGAGGGGAGCCCGCCCCGACCTGATCGCCCCCATTACCCCAATGCGCTGCCCTGCCTGCACACCTGCGAGAGGTGAGCCCGACCCGACCCTGAGCCCGACCCCACTGCCCCCATAACCCCACGGCGCTGCCCTGCCTGCACCGCCCAATGCGCTGCCCTTCCTGCACAACTTGTGCGAGAGGTGAGCCTGACCCGATCCCGACCGCCCCCATAACCCCAACGCTGCCCTGCCTGCACAACTTGTGCGAGAGGTGAGCCTGACCCGATCCCGACCGCCCCCATAGCCCCACGGTGCTGCCCTGCCTGCACACCTTCTGTGAGAGGTGAGCCCGACCCCGACCGCTCCCATAACCCCAAGGCACTGTCCTGCCTGCACACCTGTGAGAGGTGAGCCTGGCCCTGACCCTGACTGCCCCCATAGCCCCACGGTGCTGCCCTGCCTGCACACCTTCTGCGAGAGGTGAGCCCGGGCTAGACCCCAACTCCGACCACCCCCATAACCCCAAGGCGCTGTCCTGCCTGCACACCTTCTGAGAGAGGTGAGCCTGGCTCCGACCCCTGACCCCGACCGGTTCCATAAACCCAAGGCGCTGCCCTGTGTGCACACCTTCTGTGAGAGGTGAGCGCGACCTTGACCCGGATCCCAACCCCAATGGTGCTGCCTTGCCTGCACACCTGTGAGAGGTGAGCCTGGCCCCCAATCTCTGGCTGTCACTGGTACTGCCACCCTAAGGTGTTGCCCTGCCTGCATCACTTCTGTAAGAGGTGAGCCTAACCCTGACTGGCGCCATAACCCCAAGGTGCTGCCCTGCTTGCACACCTGTGAGAAGCGAACCTGGCCCCTGACCCCAACGTACCACAGCGCCAAGGTGCTGCTTCGATCTGCACACCTGCAAGAGGTGAGCCTGACCCCTGCCCCTGACCACTACCATAGATAGCCTCACGGTGCTGCTCTACGTGCGCACCTGCCAGAAGTGAGCGTGATCCTTGACCCCTAACCCCAGCCGGTACTGCAGCCCCAAGGTGCTGCCCTGCCTGCACATTTTCTGCAAGCAGTGAGCCTGAGCCCCCAACCCCGACCAGTGTCGCTGCCCCAGAGTGCTGCCCTGCGCACACACCTGAGAGGTGAGCCTGACCCCTGACCTCTGACTCTGACTGGTACCGCCACCCCAAAGTGCCGCCTTGCCTGCATCATTTCTGCAAGAGGTGAGCTTGACCCCTGATCTTTGACCCCAACTGGTACCACAGCCCCAGGGTGCTGCCCTGCCTGCACACCTGTGAGAAGTGAGCCCGACCCCTGACCCTAACATACCGCAGCCCCAAGGTGTTCCCCTGTCTGCACACCTGTGAGAGGTGAGCCCCGCTGGTCCCAACTGCTACCGTAGCCCCACGGTGCTGCTCCACCTGCACACCTGCGAGTGGTGAGCCTGACATTTGACCCCCGACCTCGACTGGCCCTGCAGCCCCGAGGTGCTGCCTTGCCTGCACACCTGTGAGAGGTGACCCCGAGCCATGCCCTGTCCCCTGGGGGGGTGAGCTCTGCTCTGCAGGGCCCTGGGGGCCTGGGGCGAGAGGCCAGAGCAGAGCGGCAGCCACGAGCCCAGGGTGCCGCTCCGGGGCAGGGCCCCACTGCGCTGCTCTGTGCACCCCAGAGTCTCTGCCGCCCCATGATACTGGGGGGCTCTGTCCTGGGGGGTGCCAGGCACACTGGGAGGAGCCGTGGTCCATCCTCCCGCTCTCCGGCTAGTGCTGGCGGGGCTGGGTGGGCACTGTGCCCGTGGCTGCGGCCTCCTCGCGCCCCATGCACCTCCGGGCTGGGGTGCCCCTGGGGCTGCGGTCAGGGGTCGAGGGTGGCGCCGGCTGGGCAGGGTGGGGGCAGCCCCCCGGGG